CCCGATTCCTCACTTAGTAGATGGCTTATTTGGCCCACTTATTATCTCCTTGTTGGGCCGGCCCATTACTATACCCTAAGTGATCCTATATATTTCCCTTTTGTTGGGTTGGTCATTTGGAAGTGTGTTTTGCCTTGAAATTGAGAGAAAGACTCGGCTGCCTCCTTGTGTGCTTTGTGCTTCCGGCTTGTAGCTTGTCTTGTTATCTTCTCAATGTTCTTAGCCTTTGTGGCTCCGCCTTTGTGGTTGCAAACACTTTCCCCTTTTGTGTCCTAAGTGGGCAAATCGATAGCAACCAAAGTGAGGAGTGGTTTGAAGGTTTGGGGTCGATTGCTTGGGTGTCTATATGGTTGGTAAATTGAGCGTGGTTTTGGTGAAATTTAAAATCCATTTTCTAACATTTGGTATCAGAGCGGGTTGGGGTGGATTTCAGGCCATAAAATCGAGCAGAAACTGCCCAGAATCGCATAGGAAACAGGAAGGAAAAATCTGTCAATTTTTCAAGTTTTTAGCCAGACCTAAAAACTTGTTTTCCGACCAAAATGGTGACCATTTGAAGAATCCAACACCACAGGAGGCATTAGCAGGTGGTGGCGTAGCTGGGTGGCAGGAGCATTAGAATGGCAGGGACGCATGGCAACTACGCGTGAAGCCCATACGCAGTGATCTTGGCGGGGCGTGGCAGCGTGTGGGGCCTCCTTCGGTGAAAATTCCTTCCGATAGAATCTTTATTTTGACATTTCTAACAATTTTGTGTTGTTAGTTTTCTGTTTCAGGGTATACATTGAAATCTGGATGATTTTGCCCCGCGTTCGTAATTCAATTTTTGATCGGTTGGTTGCTGCAGTTGTTGGAGACTTTAGGGCGAATAGTAATGGCTCTAAAGGGATAAGTTCGCTTCTCTCATAATTTACGGACTCGAATAGGTCCTCTCTGGTAAATTGGCTTATCCCGTTTAAATTTCAGCATTAGCGCGTCTTCTTGTAGGGTGACATTAGGATTGGGGTTACCGTGAAGGGGTAATCATTGTTTGTGCTAGAAATTTAGGAATTAATTGCTCTATTTGGAGTATTGGTTTTAATTGCAGGTTGATATTTGCTTCTATGTTTACTTGCGTGAGAATTTTGAATCTTTTGTTGATATACCTTCGGGTTGTATCGGCTATTCCGTTAGAGCACCTANGAGCACCTAGTCTTGACTCGTTTGATTATTCCCTTGATCTAAGATCGTGAATCTTACGAAACCTTAGGAATCTAGAACTGTATATATTGTTCCCTTAGGATTACTTTGTGTGACCTATTTATGAATTTTTGATTGTTCTGTTTTTTTCAAATGTCTTCACATTTCGAAATTGGAATTTTTAATGGGAAAGGGGACTTCTCAATTTGTAAACAAAGGATAAAGGGGATTTTAGTTCAACAAAAAGTTTCAAAAGCTATAGATAACAAATTTCCTGTAGATTTAACAGAACCACAAAAAGAAGAATATGACGAACT